AACCAGCCCCTCCTTTACTTCTGAGTCCGGATGGTCACTTCTTTGGGCCGGCCGATATCTCTGTCCTTCAAGTCAAACTGGGGGTCGAAGTATTCCTCGGGCGGGAGAGCTGTTGGGTTGTTGCTCGAGGCAAACTCCGTCGTCAGGTCCTGGGGGGAAGGGCAAGGTGAGCGCCCTCAGGGGCCGCCCCCTCCCCCGGAAGGCTCCCCTGCCTCGGGCTGAGAGCCAGAGGAGGGCCGGGGGGGGGGGGGGGCAGGACACTCACCTGCTGGGCTCCGTATTCGTGCTCAATGGTGCCCAAGAAGGACTCCAGGGGGTTTCGGTCAGCTAGGAGAAAGGGAGAGAGGCCAGTCAGCTCCAAGCTTCCCCCTCCCCCCAAGGGCCCCTCCGTCGCTCTCACCTTTGTATCGCCTCTTCTCCTCTTCAGTCAGGTGCTCCGTCCGGATCCTGGTCACCACGTTCACGTTGTTGGCCGTGAAGACCTGGAGAAAGGAGGAAGCCACTCACATTGGCCGGAGTACGGAAGCCAGGCACAGCCTGCCGGCAGCCGTCCGTCCTCAGAGCAGGGAAACAGATGGAGACCCCGAGGGGAAAGGAGGCGCCGGTGCCGGATTCCAGGCAGCGTCTCACCTTAGCTTCGTAGTCGTTCACCGCTTCGCTCCTCTCCGTCTTCCAGACCCAGAAGCCAGAGGTGTTTCTGCAAGGCAAACATCCGTTTCCAGGCCTCTGGGCTTCTTCTGAGACCCCTGGCCCAGGAACGACGCAATGCTCCCGGGCCCTCTCATCCCTTGGAGGGAGACTGTAGGAAGGAGGGACCAATGCGGGGCTCCTGCCTCTCCTACCTCTCAAAGGCGATGCTCCTGGTGTCCAGGGAGGTGCTGAGGATGGGAGAGGTCAGCCGTCGCTCCACCTCCTTGTTCTTTGGAACCATGGAGTCCAGGGTCAGCCGCTTGATCTGCTGCGTGATCTCAAAGCGTTCGGACGCCACCACCTTGTCGTCGTGGTTGACCTCAATCAGCTCAGCCCAGTGCCCGGTATCTGGAAACCCAGGTGGGAAGGAAGGGCTGGTAAAGAGGGTCAGGGTGTGTCCGCCCCCCCCCCCCCCCCCCCCCCGGCCCCCCTCCCCCTCCCCCCATCAGGCTCCGCCTCCCTCGCTCCCAGCTCATGTTCTCAAAGCCCAG